CTAAATGATAGAAGCCAGACACAGAGGTCACATATTACGTAATTCCATTCATATGAGATACTATAGCTCTAGGGTTTGTTTTTGGGCTATTAGGAATGTGGTGGAATTAGATAGTGATGATGTTTCAGTATTATTGTAAATATGCTAAAACCCACAAATTGCATACTTTAAAATGGTGAGTTTTAAATTATATGTGTCTTATCTCAGTAAAAATTATGAAAACAAATTTAAATAAATGAGCCAAATTGTGTCCTAAAAGTGTTAGCTTAATTTAACCTCCAACGTATATGAGAAAAATCCATTTCCACACTTTTACCAACAATAGATATAATCACTCTTCATTTTTACTAGTAATGATGGGGCAGGAAGAAAAGATTTGAAAACATTTTGTATTTCCTCAGTTGCCATTGAGGCCGAACCTTTCTTTGTTGATTTATTGGCCGTTTATATTTCTTTTTCCTGTACATTAACTTTACTGCTTGCCTATTTCCCTACTGTATTGTTTATTTTTTCTGATTAATTTTTGGAAGCTGTGTGTCTATTTTTACACATAGGCTTGTCAATCTTTTTTTCTTTTTTTTTCTCTCTCTTGTTGTATACCGTCAAATCGGATCCAGCTGGCACCAGAGGAGTTTGGCCCTCCTTCTCTAGCAGAGCATCTGGTGGATTCAAGCCGTGCACCTTCTGGATTGCACCGCAGCTTCTTGCCCCTAGGCCACCAGAGCTCCCTTAGACTTGTCAGTATTGTGTGTGTGTGTGTGTGTGTGTGTAGTAGCATTTAGAATGGCTTCCCCAACCTATTCTATATGTGTTCTATATTTTTTTCCGTGTTCTCTTATGGATTTTTTTTTGTTTATAGATCTAAGTTTTTAATCCACCTGGAATTTAGTGACTGGCATATGACAGAGATCAGCTGTTATTACTATTTATGTATTAATCACATATTTCTGCTTTGTGAAATCGAGGTCAGAGCATTTGATCTAATTTTTCTGTACACATAGACAGGGGAGGGAGTCCTGGTGCATATTTGATTAAATATTGGACTACTAACTAAAAGGTTGGCAGTTGCATCCAACTCACCAGTCACTCCTCAGATCAGAGAAAGATGGACAGTCTTTCCCCACTAAGATTTACAGCCTCTAAACCACAATGGAAGGACCCATTTGCCTTGAGTCAGGTGAACCAGAATAGCCTTGAGAGCAGCAGGTTTGGCTGGCGGAGGGCCTTGTTTTCTTTTTGGAGATTTTTTTCATTGTTATAAACAGAGATTATTATCCAGGAGTCTCTGATTAACCTATGCAGATTTACTCCAGGAGTCCTTTAAATGGTAAACTTCCCTTCTTGAATTTCAATATGATTGGCTGATATCAGGAGTAGATCTATGTTTTTGTAAGGCCTGGAATTTATGTCATCTGGGAGGCTCTCTTTAATGTAAGAATAGAAAATTATGAATATAAAATGAGGTGCAGGCCCATGCAGGTGCAAAGACCTGAAATCCAAGCTTCATTAGCTTTACAGTCGATTCACTGCTGGTTATATTATCAGAATGCGGCTCTTATATAAAAGGGCGAAGAACTGCCATCTCCATCTGTGGAGCTGTAGGGCTTTCCTTTATACTTACCAATTGTCACAATTTAAGAATTTTTTCCCCTCCCTGCCTTTGTTTTTTTTAAAAGAGACATTTAAGAGCAGAGAGACACATCAAGGTAGCTTTAATGTTGTAAGTGGAGTTAGTCCACTGGAGAAATTCTCTCAGCACCTCTGAAAATTTTCAGACATAATGTATTTGATCGATGGAGTAGCTGGGAGCTCTGTATAAATAATGTGGTAGTTCGTTTTGCAAGCCTTTGGAACCTGAATTTACAATGTTAACTTTGCATATCTGCTTACTTTCACATTGGAGTTGGTTCCGTTTTGTTAAAGGGTTGCAAATGCAGTTAGCTCAGCTTCCTACCTGCTCTGAAATGTGAGAGGCAAACAGCTACCAGTGTCATTGTGAATAATGCAGAGGATAACAATAAGAAGACTTCCTTCACGCGCACTACACGTGTGAGGCAGGCTATCTTCTCCCCTCCGCTGGACGGGTTAGGAAGCTGAGGTTAGGGAGAGGAAGCCTCACCCAGGGCCTCAGGGTGAACCTCCAGAGCCCCCCTGCTTTGACATATCCTCTGAGGATAGCATGTTCACTTAATAAATAAAACAGTTCAAAGAAGTCACACAACCTGAGTTTTAAATTTTCATATCAGTTATACTGAATGCTTATGTGTCAAGTAGTTTTAAAAACATCCTAGGTATTAGTCCATTTAATCTCCATTGTTGTTGTTAGGTGCTGTCAAACTGAGTACAAGAACAAAACGATGTATGTGAATGATTGTATGCAAACCAAAAGATATAGTAATAAACTCAGCAAGAGTACTTTAAAATAAAGTCAGCTATGACTCAGACTTTATGAACAATAGATACTTTGTCCTGTCCTGCTCTAACCTTGGCCTTCCTCATCATCTCCATCTCCGATGTGCTCGAACCCACTGTTTTCATCACCTTATTGAGAATTTTCCTCTCTTCTCTGACCCCTTATCTTTCCCAGCATGATGTCTTTTTCCAAGGTCCGGCCCTTCTCGATAATATGCCCAAAGTATGTGAGATGAAGTTTCATCATCTGTAAGATGAGCTGTATTATTATTATTATTATTATTATTGCCACTAAACCAATGAGGAAACTGAATCACAAAAATTTCCAGGATTACATAAATCAATAAGTGAAGGTGCTGGAGTTGAACCTCCAGAAAAGAGTTCTTACCCATGTTCTGTAATTGTTTGCTGGGAAAGTACAGTTAAAGCTCAGTATAGCTCCTGATCCATCAGCCTCTCAGAACTCCCCAGAGAGTGACAGAAACCAGGGTACTTTGAGTGTTTTAAATGAAGAAAAGAAAAGCTCAGAGGTTACCAAAATGGTTGCATATTTAGTTGAAATCAGACAAATGAATTCTTTAACACACACAGGAAAACAAAGCAACGTCATTCTGCCATTCACAAATAATCATAGGATATTTATGAGAAATATTAAGTCATGAGGCTTTTACACTCAGGGTGGTGTGGTCTGAGGGAAGGCTTTAAGTTGGCAATGAGCATCTTCTTTCAGTCCTGGGAGTGTCTCTCTCGGGTCTGGTGTGCACTTGGGCTGGGAGAAGACACGAAAAGTCAGAAGTAGGTCTCTGAGAATGAGAGCGTGGAGCAATCCCTTGAGTCGATCTGGAGATAGCGTGGACAGCTTAATGTCTGACCTTTCTTTCTTTTTCTAAAAGAAAGGAAATGTTTCTTTTTAGAAGGATGTAAACATCTCCCCTAACTTCCTCAGAGTTCACCCAGCCCCTCCGTGGGATGACTCTTTCCTGTCTTGGGGATGGAGGCTCAAGAGATTTCCAAAAACCTCCCTCCTCTAGCCTTCTTGGTTCTTTCTTGATGCTCCTGGCAGGAAGTAGAGCTGGTCAAGGCCTGAGAATCTCCAAAGCCAGAGGACTCTAAGGTGACGTGTCTCCCTTCACTAAGAGTTCTTGCTTAGGCCAGTGGCAACATATGCCAGTCAGATGTCCACACTGCCCTCTCACTCTCCTCCCTCTTGGCATGGAAGAGGTCCTAGTAGGACATGTTGTATAATATTTTATGAGTTCCTGGTTTTTCACTGCTGTGTAGTGTTCCATTGCATGAATGTGCCATAGTTTTTCTATCCATTCGTTTGTTGATGGGCGCTTGGATTGCTTCCGTCTCTTTGCTATTGTGAACAAAGCCGCAATAAACATGGGTGTGCATGTAAAAAAAAAAAAGAAGAAGGATGTAAACAGAGACAATTTTTCTAAAGCACTCAGTTTTGCTAGTTTTAGTAAGAAGAAAAGCCCCCAGTGAATTGTACAAAATTGTTGACTTGGCAAATGTTTTCTTGGCTATGTTTTTACCACCAAAAAAAGAAAGAAAAGCCACTGAATGATACGGAAGAGACAAACTTTAATTCTCTATTATACTGTGTGTTTTTTTGTTTGTTTGTTTTTTGGTAGTTTGCTTTTTTTAAAAAAAGAAAGAAAGACCTTTCTATTTTTTTAATAGTTCCTGGTTAGACTTAAATTTTCTAGATAAGAGAAGCGCTTCCTTGAAAATACAAAACCAAGGGAGCTCTGGTGGCCTAGTGGCAAGAAGCTGCACTGAAATCCCAAATGCATGCAGTTCGAATCCACCAGATGTTCTGCTGGAGGAGGGGCAATCTCATCCTGTGCCAGGTGGATCTGATTTGATGGTACACACACACACACACACACACACACACACACACATAAATCGGAAACAAAATTGTAAAGTCATTGTTCCTGGACAAAGAAATTGAAATGCAGAGCAGCATCCCTAACTTTGGTCAGTGACCTTGGGGCACATTAGCTAACCAATCATGCGTTAGTGAGCACAGTGGTGTTACATGCCGTCACGTCTCATATGACTTGTATGGATTGACAGTAGATTTTTCCAAAGCGGTTTTCAGAGTTGTGAGTGAAAATAGTTCCATTGTTTTTCCCGGCTCTCAACCAGCAATTTGTTCCAATTAGCAGCCACTTGGAAGCATTTGTATCACAGATAGGTAAGACTCTTACCGCACACAGCTCATCACACTTGCACAGTTATGTTTTATTTCATTTCAAAAGCTAACGCGTTCTGGTGGTGACTGCTTTCTTTGAGGATAAAAAAAAAAAAAGCCTGGTCACATTTCTAAACAAATGTCACATTCTTATCCCCATTATCTCCCATCCATCCCTTATGGGATCGTGCAACTCTCTTGGTAGATATAATCCGCTTTGTATTTTCATTCAGGGATAACAAACTAGCAAGGTTCAAATCTTGACATGTCATCAGAATTGAATTGCTCCCGGGTGCTGGGAGGCAGTGAAGAGTCTAGCTGTGTTCAGAAAAGGCAGTTAGAGAATCTCAATTACCTGCTCTTCTTTTTTTTCTCCCTCCAGTATGGTGACTATGACCCCTCAGTTCACAAGCGGGGATTCTTGGCCCAGGAAGAGTTGCTTCCAAAAAGGGTAAGAAATCAAATTGAGGTGTACTCCAACCTGTGTGGGAAGGCCTAGCAGGACTATCATGTGCAAGAAAGCTGCTTGGGCACTCTCTCTCCCTATTTCCTTTCAAGGGGACATGACCATCCCTTTGGGGATGTGACCTTCTAATAAATCTATCTTTACGATTTTACCCTCAAAAAAAGAGAGGAGGAGAGAAGTTGCCTGAAGGACTTGAAGTGGTATTGGAAGGACATGGCAAGAACAGGTTTAAAAATATTTCAGTACATGGCAAGAACAGGTTTAAAAATATTTTGTAATAAATCTTGACTAAAGAGCGTGCAGTAGCTGTGATGAATATTAAGAAGCCAAGGTTCTTCGAGTTGGATTGGGGCATTGCCAGGACTGGCCTGGCCTGCAGATGTCCTCCTGCCTGGTCGTTTTCATCAAGGTAGCTGAGCCTCACTAGTTCTTGGGGAAGCGTTTGGAGCAGTCTGTTCACATGGGAAACGGAGCTGTTTGCAGCTGCACTGGGCAATAGAGGATGAGTTAGGGTGGCCGTTGTGGCCTCAGTCTGCAGTGCTCTTCATCTTGTTCATTAGCTGCAGAAGAAAGACTTTCCTCCAATTTACTGTCTCCACTCAGCTGTCAGTAGGTAATGAAGCCTGTTCCTCACCTCTCACTGGCTTTATCTGCTCGCATCACGGCTTCTGTGTAGGTGAAGGCAGCGGCTCACACAAGCTGGCCTCAGGGGTTCCGGGGAGAGTTAGCCTTGCCTCTGACTGGGCTACTTCATTTGAGACGGTCTCTAGGGTGCAGAGCCCAGGAAAGGAGGACACCGCAGGCGGGGGACGTACCTCAGCCTGAGTAATAGTGCCACTTTTCCAAGTTGTTATCCAAATTGAATGGTGCTTATTTACACGCCCACCTCAGCCAGTGACTGTCTCCCTGTGTGTGGCTTTTTAAAAATAGCCATGCTATTTTGTAAAAAACGATACATCATCATAAAAATGTCAAACAATACCAAAACTTTTCCTTATGCGTGGGTTTTTTATTTTGCTGTGTTTTTCGGTAGGTGATAAATCTGTATCAAATGACTCCGGAAATGTGGGAGGAGAGAATAACTGCATGGTATGCGGAGCACCGGGGCCGGGCCAGGTGAGTAAGCCCAGCTTCCTGCTTCACATTTCTGAGTGGATTTTTAAAAAAAGAACAAAATCAAGAATCAAAATACCAAAATCTATAAAACTTCAATATACTTGTTAAACAGAATGTACTACAGAAGTATATAAAAGACAAGGAAGAGGTGCAGCCATTCAATTTCAGTACTGTTTTTCCATGTACCTGCATAGAAGATATTGTCTTATGATTTCTCCCTGCTTCAGTGTACCAGGAGGCAGTCAACAGAACAGAGCAAGGAAACACTACATGGTTCAAAATCAGGAAGGATATATGCCAAGGATATGCTCTATCTCTATACCTTTTCAATCTATATGCAGAACAGATCATCTAGGAGGCTGGGCTGTATGAGGAGGGGTGTGGCATCAGGATTGGAGGAAGACTCACCAACAACCTGTGTTATGCAGATGACACAACCCTGCTTGCTAAAACTGAGGAGGACCTGGAGTGTTTGTTGCAGAAGGTCAAGAACTGCAGACTTCAATATGGATTGAAGCTCAACATCAAAGAGACAAAGATTCTCACCACTGGGCTGATTGGCAGCATTAGGATAGATGATGACGAGATTAAGGTTGTAAACAGCTTTAGTTTGTTTGGCTCCACAATCAACACTCTTGGTACCAGCAGCCAGGAAATCAAAAGACAAATTGTATTGGGAGAATCTGCTGTCAGAGACCTTTCCAGAGTACTGAAGAGCAACGAACTACATCAGTGTGGAGACTAAGGTGCGCCTAATCCAGGCCATAGTCTTTGCAATTACTTGTTACATGTTAGAGAGCTGGACAATGAGTAGGGATGATAGAAAGAGAATTGATGCCTTTGAGCTGTGGTGCTGGAGAAGAGTGTTGAATATACCACGGACTGCCAGGAGAACAAACAACTTCATCCTGGAGAGGGTGAAACCAGGCTGCTTCTTGGAGGCAAGGATTCTGAGGCTGACAAACTTTGGACATGTTGCGAGGAGGGACCTGTCCTTGGAGAGGGATGTCATGCTTGGGAAGATGCATGCTCAGGAGAGGAAGACCTTGGACGAGCTGGATTGACGCAGTGACTGGGGTGATGAGGGTTGGTGTGTCAGAGACAATAAGATTGGCACAGGATAGAGAAAGTTTCAGGGCTATTCCAGATGCTTTGCTGAAGAACGAGGGGCAATCTCCTCCTGTACCAGTCAGAACCAATTTGACAGTCCACACAAAAGTAAAAGAGAGGGGGAAAAAGTTTCAGGGCTGTTGTACATAGGATTGCTATGAGTCACAACTACACAACGGCACATAACAACAGTAACAGAAAGATCCACTATGCATAGTCTTAGATGTGCATTTTTGTAAGTAGTTCTGAGGGTAGATTCCTTAGAAGAGCCACCTGCCAGGTCAAAGGAGATGAGAAATTTGCATTTCAACAGAGGCCGCCAAATTGTCCTTCAAAAAGATTGTATCTGTGTATGTCCCTCTCAGCGGCATTTACGAGTGTGGCCTTCCCCTCTCCATTATTCTCCAAGCCTTTTTTATCTCATTCTAATAATTGTAGAAGGTGGAATATCTTTCATTGGCCTTTTAATTTTTTAAGATGTTTTTGCTCTCCTTGAAATCGACTTCCTGTCATCCTCCCAAGTCACCTTTCTCTCTTCCTTCCTCCTCAAGGAAAGCACTTTCCTGATTTCTAACTTCATTAGGTTCGTGTTGCCTGTTTTAAACTTCGTAGCAGTGGATTCAGACAGTTTGTAATTTTTTGTGTCTGGCTTCCTTTGCTCAGCCTCATACTGTGATATTTGGCCTGTGGGATCAGCAGTAGCTTTCCCATTTTTAGTGCTGGACGGAATGAAAAGTCTTTCCATTTTGAACTCTTGATATGCCACTGGAGCTCTCGTGACATCGTGGCAAGAAGTTGTGCTGCAATCCTGAAGGCACACGGATCGAGACCACCAGCTACTCCTCAGGAGATGGATAGGCATTCTTCTCACTTGTGATTAACTGCCTCTGAAAACCCACTGGGGCGTCAGCTGTGGGTCAGTTCCAACTCTACAGTACTCAACAAGTATCCCATACATAATTGATTTACCTCACACTTGTGGGATATTTAGATTACCAAGGTTTTACTATTAGACATAAGGAAGAAGAAGAAAAAAGGACAAATACTTTTGCAGGGTGATTATAGCAGTTTACATCAAAAGTATATGTGACTTTAAAAACAAAAAAACAACCCCAAGAAAACTTACATGTGACGTTTTAAAATTGTTCCACCTACTTAACAATACTTGGCTGTTATTGAAGGTTGAATTTTTAAAATTCTTTTGAGAGCATTTTGATATTGGGAGGAAAAGAAATTTTACTTATTCAGTATTTTACCAATTCAGGAGTTTTCTGCAATCTGTTGTGGTTTTCAAAAACCTCCTTTAAGTTTTCCTTGTAATTTAGAAATAGATATCCTCGCTTGGGTTTTACCATCCGAATATCTGCCTCTTGCCTTAAGTGTTACCAAAAGCCAAAAAAGTAAAATCAGGAAGTAGCTTGCCAAGAGAGTGGTTTCTGGGACAGAAGCTAGCTGAAGAAAGTACATGTCAGGTAAAATACAATTTAAACATGCTGGGTACATTTGAGGGGAGAAGATAAGACGCCACATTTCTTTGCTTGAGCGACTTAGATGGGTGTCATTATTTACCAAGGGCAAAGTCTGCAATTGAAGCCAGGAGACGTTATAATGAATCTGTGCTCTTGTTTTTATGGGACTGGGAAATGCTGCCTGACCTCGGCATGTTTAATTCACTCGGCATTGGGAAGAGCTTGGCACGGGTCCACCTTGCCTTGTATCTGCTGCCAGGGGACAGGATTCTAGAGGAAGAGCAAATCGAGAGGGCCCCCCCGGGGCATGTGCTTCCCCCTACCTTCTCTGTCAGCTCCAGTGATGACTGATTCCTTCTCCTTACAGGGACGAAGCGGAAATGGAATATCTGAAGATAGCACAGGACCTGGAAATGTATGGCGTGAACTACTTTGCAATCCGGGTGTGTTGAAGTCTCTCCACGGTGCCTGTTCAATAACCAGAGACTGGATTAGGGGCAGGCTGCTAAAATGGGTTACCTCTTCATTCCATCAGAGTTAGCGTGGGCAACTCTTTCACAGTCCAGTGGTAAAGAGAAGGGGGGGAGGGGAGGGAAAGGAAAGGAAGAGAGATCTTACAGCCTCACTTTCTATTTTGGGGCTTCAATTAGATCATAGGTAATTAAGTGTCAGTTGAGCCTTGAGGGACCGGGGCCCAGTTCTACACTCAGCACAAACCTGTTTGAGTCCTCAGAGTTTAACACTTGATTATTTCTGATGCTGTGAGATCTTGGCCCACGGGGAGCACCTGTAAATGCCTCCTTTGCCCAGAGCGCAGGGAGAGTAAAGCTGCCTTTATAGATTACGGATTTGTTTGGGTGGGGAATCTTGTTCTCACTCTGAGGCTAATTGGTTTTCTATCCAGACCATTAATAGTCTGCTGTCCTTTGGGAACACACAGCCTGCACCCAGAAACGTGTTTCATTTCTCAGCCTCTAGAATGTCTCTTTTTACCGCGGTCAGCTGCTGAATGCAACTGTGTGGGCAGCTTCTCCCAAAGGGGTAAAATACCTCATTGCTGGTGCTAATGTGCAGATGAAGGGACTTAAAAAAACAAAAACAAAAACAAAACCCCAAACAACAACAAACACTGTGCACAGTAGTTTGCCTTGATTACCATAGTTATAGTTTGCTTTCCATGTTTGAGTTCCTACAAATTTTGTATAAAATTTGGATAAACTGAAGCACGTTTTAACTTAATTTATTTGCTTTCTAAATAAAACTTTTTACAGATGACTTTGTATAAAATGAAGTCATGAAAATATCATAATTTAGAAAATAAATGAGTGTCTAATGAATGTCCCACAATATTACAGCAGGTTATTTACTAAAGTTCTATTTAGTTATGGATTTCCTAACTCATTTGGCTTCTTGAAAATCAGATTGATTCAATGCTTTTCTGTGATTTTGTCAATTCGATTCCTTATTCTTATGGGCCTGCTGCCATATCTAGATTCTATAAAACTCAGGTTTTATGGTTCTCAATGAGCAGTTTTTTATTAGGGACTATTTTTACATCAGTCAAAGGAAAAAAATAATTTTGTGTGTGTGTTTTTATACTGAGCAGTAGACAGAACATATGGTGGCTTTAAGGGCACAGGCGGCATGTAGAGCTTTACCTGTTAGTCTGCTAACCAAAAAGATGGCAGTTTCAAATTCATGAAGATGCGGCAGGCTCCTCCCTTAAAGAGTTCCAGGGTTCAGTCGGAATCTACTTGATGGCAGGCGATCGACGGTCAAATGGCAATTTTAGTGTCTTGGGTAACAGAGTCCTGGAAATTTTACCATTGGGAGATTAGCACTTAAAACATTTAGAGACTCCACTTTGATCGTTTTAATCTGTAGAAGTGATGGAGCCACAATAATAGGAGACAGTTGGTGGTGGTGGTGGTGGTGGTGGTGGTGTTATTAGGTGTCATCAATTCGACTACAACTCAGCAACCCTAAGAACAACAGATCTGAACCCTGTCCTATTCTGTGCCATCCTTAGACTTCCCGACACACAAGAGCCCATTGCAGCAGTCACCATGTTAGTCCACCCGGTTGAGGGTCGTCACCTCCTTCACTGACCCTCCACCTTTCCCAGCATCATGTCCTCCTCCAAGAAATAGCTCCTTCTAGCATGCTGAAGTATGTGAGGCGAAGCCTCATCATCTTTGCCTCTAAAGATCACTCTGGCTGCACCCTCTCCAAGACATCTGTTTGTTTTGGCCATCCGTGGGATGCTCAGTGCTCTTCTCCAGTACCACAGCTCGAAGTCATCAATTGTTTTTCTGTCATCCTTATGCATTGTCCGGCTCTCAGATGCATAGTAAGATGTAGAGTAACAAAGTGCAGACTGAGTACAGACCCTGTTTTTTAACTTATTATAAACTCAAATCAGAAACATAATGAAATAGCTCTTATTTTTGCAAAAAGTACTATTGATTTTAAAAGTGCAGCCCCTCCTGCGTTAAAGCTGTGCAGGCAGCAGGAATCTCACATAGTTTAGTGATGGTACCTGGCTTCAGGCTGCGAGAAGGATGAAAAGATTAGCTTGGAGCACACACATCTTCATCCAGCACCTGCTGTTAGATTGGTTCTTCACATCCTCCTTGGCAAACCTTCTCAGTGTGCGGATCCGTTTCCCTGCCCTTGAAGCTCAGTTCAGTTTCTTTGTCATCGGCAAGGGAGGAGGTTCTGTAGCGTCATGAAGGGGGCTTCCTCTCACCACTAGGGAAGGGCCAGCCCCCAGCACACCGGAAACATACTTGCCTACTCTGTTTTGTGGCTAACACCTCTGTATGTTAGGTGCCATCGAGTCATCTCATAGATACCCTGTGTGCAATAGTTCTGAACCCTGTCCTATCCTGAGCCAGTCTCACTGACTCCAACACATCTAATCCCAGAGTCTTCCTCTCATACACTGTCCCTGGCCACATGCCCAAAGTATGGGCAAAATCCAAAGCTTCAAAATCCTTGCCTCAGGGAGCTCTGGTGGACTAGTGGCAAGAAGCTGCACTGCAATCCCAGAGGTGCACAGTTCAAATCCACCAGATGCTCTGCTAGAGAAGGAGGGGCAGTCTCCTCCTGTACCAGTCAGATCTGATTTGATGGTACATATACACACAAATAAAAAAGAAAAAGAAAAATCATTGCCTCCATAAGAAACTTTGTTTCACCTTCTCCAAGACAGACTTGTTTGTTCTCTTGGTGGTATGTATGTTCAATACTCTTCTCCAGCACCACAACTCAAAGGCATCGGTTCTTCTTCTGTCATCCTTAGTCATTGTCCAGCTCTCTGATGCATAGCAAGTAATTGCAAAGACCACAGCCTTAATCAGGTGCACCTTAAAATCTAGACTATCATTGCTCTTTATTTTTTTTTCCTATAATTATATTTTATTAATTTTCAT